TACATGCCAGCCCACTTATTCCGGTCAATCAACAACATGGTCTTTATTGCACGAGCTATTGGAGTGCTGCATGGCGTATAGCGCCTGTTGTTATTGCCCTTGCGACCTTTGGACCCGTGCGAAAGTGGCCGCAACAATGAGCGGAAACACCACCGTCGCCTCTGCGTACACCTTCACGCTATCTCCGTCTAGCTTAATCTTTCCCCAGCTGACAGCCTCGTCTGGCCGTGCGCCTGCATCACTCCCGTCAAATTCCTGCGCAGTGTTGATGTACACCGCGCTGTCGGCTCCGTTGCGCATCAGGTTCGCATTGGCGATGTGATGCTTCACCAGTCCTCCGCCCAGGACAATCATGCCCGTCCTCTTCGCTCTCACGGCGATTGTGTTTATCCTTCTAATGTCCTCTACAATATCGACGCGCAGCTGCTCTGGTGATGACTTGAATGTGTGGAAGTACAGCATGTCGCCCAGGCTTCCATCTGTCAGCGCTGGGCAGAAGACGGGGATGTCGTTCTTCCACGCCCAGTAGTAGACCGATCGCTCGTCATTGATCTCCTTACCTAGACGGTGGATGACCTTGCTAGGCGTCCAGTACAATGGCTCGTCCGTTTTCTTGCTCGCTTCCTGCTCCTCCAGCATCTTGTCCAGGATTGGCACGACCCAGTCCTCGAACGCGCAGTAGTTGCTGTTAGGCACGACGAGATTGCCGATACGGTTCATGCCCTTTTGGCGCAGTCCAGCGCCGGGAGTGGAGAAAGCGCCGAGGTATGTCGGCGCGAGGCATTTGATGAAGTCCTCTTCGACGCCGCCTGCCGTCGTCACGATGGCAGAAACGTGTTTGTGCTGGACCAGGTACCGCAGCGTCTCGCGCAGACCCGAGGATATCAGATTTGACGTGTACCCAAGGAATATCGTCGTGGGCTCCTTGGTCTCAGGGTCTCTCCATGCGCGCTGTCATCAGTTAGCAGCGAACCCAAGCTTCTCGATGCGGTGGTGGTGTCGCGTCGCCAAATCAGGCTAAATGTTTCGCCTTTCGGGACTGCGCACGGACGGGAGATTCCCGGCATACGCAAGTGCTGTCTCCGCACTTGACGCTGACACGCCGCAGCGGCGCAGCACGCGCATTCGGATATTCCGGGCAGAAGCAACTCACCATATCGTTGATGATGCGTACAGCCTCTCCCACCGATGTCGCCTGAAAGCCCATGTTGGCGTAGCCGCCCACCAGCTCCTCGACGGTGATGCTGCGCGACGCATACTGGTTGAAGTCGATGCCCTGCACCTCTTGCGCACCCTCAGGCACGGGCTCGGATGGCTTCAAGACTGCATCAGTGGCGCCGGTAGGGGCCGAAGAGTTGCTAGCCATGGCAGTGGGCAATCTCGGTTGGGCAGTCGCTGCAGCGGCGCTGTCGCGATGTTCTGGCGCGTCGTCGGGCTGCTCGGCGTACTCTGGACGGTTGCAACTCTCGTACTGTGCTATTTGTGAGTCGGTGCGGCGGCAGATTTTGAGGAAAAAGAAGCCCCCACACCTGGGCACCCGTGGATTGGAGCTAAGGCATGGCAGTCTAATCCCTGCTCGTGTGAGGCTAGTTCTCGGGTCGATCCAGCTAAGGAGACTGCCAGGCCTTTTGCCATCAACGTGTGGGAGGGCCACGGTGTCGCATCATCGCACAATACTGCAGCCAGTCCTCCAGGCGTGCATCGTGTCCAGCATCTGCCGTGCAGCCGTGTGTGTCCGTGTTGGTGAAGGGCCCGGGCTGGGATCGTCACCAAATCCCCTAGTGGAGCCAGGGCTGGAATCTGAAGCAAAACCAGCGGCTGCCCACCCCTGCAGATAATCGAAATGTCCAACTGCGGACCAATCAGAGGCCGGCTGTCATGTCTGGATGGATTCCCCTCGCTAGGCCGTTGCAGGCCAGCCGGGGCGTCCATTTTGACTTGCAGGCATCCGTCATGGCTGGGTGTGTCAGTGCTTCGTTCGTGTTCTGGTCTCCTCGACGTTCCCTTTCTCATCATCACACCTACCTTGCGACAACGACCCTCTCCACGACACTATGCTGCCACGGCCCAGCGGCGCACAGCCTGGCTAAAGAGCCACTTCATTCTTCGTTCCTAGCATCGACAAGGTGCTGCCTCACGTGCCCAGGCCTCCCTCACAAAGAGACCCAGCGCCACGTCAACGGGCCGCAGAGCATCTCCAACACGGCGCCAGACTGCCTTTGTTGACCGCTGCGCGCTTCTCACACTCTCCAGTATCTCCAGACGACTTTGCCTGACCTCCAGGGCCAGTTTGACGCGTTTACGGCACGAAACGGGCGTTTTGGGCGTAAAGGCGACAATAGCAGATCGAATCTCAGCTCCCGGCGCCGAGCAGCTGCACCTGTTCCACCACGGATCGGGGTTTGGCGCTTTCCCTAATTCCCTGGTTTCGAAGCACGGGCCTTGCCGCTAGCGCCTCGTCTACCACGGCTTGCAAACACGAACCTCGACTGACACCCTGTGGTTGACGTCAACCTGGGACACAACAATTCGCCGGCCAATCGCGCGATCACTCTTGAGATTACACACGACGGTACATCAAAGGAACTCTTTTTCTTTTCTGCACCATCCGTTTGCTACGACCACTGCACGCGATCCGGGCCTGCTCTTACGACCGAGATTTCCAATCCGCTTTGACATACGACCTTTACCTGTGCCCATGCCGCAGTCGCAAGTTCTTTGTACAGTAAGCAACCACCAACATGTCTGCTTCACGGTATCCGGAAAACGGCAGATATCCCCGCGACAGATCGCCGCCCTACCGGGATCGAGATCGAAGACCATCCAACTTTAGTAGCGGTTACCCTCCAAGGGGTAACGAAACCTTTAGACCAAATGCAGAGCCTGGCGGCTTCTCAAGAGAAGTTCCGAAAGGTCCAAAATCTCTTTCCGATGCGCCACGTGGCCCGCCAGTGGGTCCACCATCAAGTGCATCTGCAGCGCCACGCGATGATAGAAGCCGAGGATTTGCTGGCCGAGGTGAAGCTACACCACTACGTACTGCGCCACCATTAAGCAGCGGTCCTGGGTTCCCGCACAACTCCCAAAATTCCTGGAGGGCAGATCGTGACCGAGACCGCGACTTTGATCGGCGCGAGCGACGGCCGACCCCACCAAGGCGCTCACCTATCCGGGACTCAAGAGATCCGCGCGATCAGAGGGACTTTGTACCGCGAGATTTGGATGTCAATCGCGCACGACGAAACTCACGAGACGGCCCCCCTTCCGCTGGTTCCACCTACTCTGACCCCCCACTCCCCGGTACAGCTTCATCGTATCGTGGCGGAGGCATTGGCCGAGGACGAGGCGGATTCTCTGGGCGCGGTCGAAATTTCCACAACGACGACCGGGAAAGACACCACGACTCACGTGATCGCATTCCGGAACGGACATATCGGCCGCGGAGTCGGACACCCCCAAGGCGCCAGGAGCGAGACATTCGGGAAGACCGCGATTTCGATAGGAGAGAACGTGACGATCGAAGGTTCCCCAGAGAGTACGACTCCTACATCGGCCCAGCAGGTGCTGCGAAACCAGGACTACGGGCGTTGGACACACACCGAGGCCCGGGCCCTTCTGATCTGAGGCATCTACCTGGTACGCCTACGGGACCAACCCCGCATTCAGCTCACCATGCCTCTCCGTCCGACAGGCTAGGGCCTCAGGGAGATACTTACTCAAGACGATCTTCTGTTGCTATCGATCCTCTCTCTGCCAAGGATCCTCGGCGGGAGCCAGGGAAAGACGAGGCTCTCCTGGCGAGCCGCGCTGAAGCGTCCAGGGAGAGGTACGCTCCGCGTGCTTCATCGCCTCCTGCTTCCATTCCAGCCTTCGGTGGGTCCAATGTTTGGAGGGCGCCCATCTCTGACAACAAGCCAAGCGCTGCGACAGTAGCACCACCGAAGCCTGTTCAGCCTACTCCTGCTTCTACTACTAACACCTCTGTCGGTCCTGCCACACCTGCTGCTCCTGTTACTCCTGTGAAGGCGGCAGTAATCCCGACTGCACCAAAGGCAACCATTCCCCCAGGCCTCTCGACACTACCACCCACTGGGCCAAAAGCTGATCGGGCGCCGGATCGTCCGCTGCTTGGAGAGATACCAAAGCAAGAGAGCAGAGTGCCCCATCCGGCTCCAACACGTATGGAACCACCTTCTATTCCTCCTACCGTTGTTCCATCTCAGGCCACTGATGTACCAGTCTCAGACAATGTGACTGCCAAGGTCCCGATCTCGCCCCAAATGGCTGCGCCCCCTAAAGTTCCCACCATGGCACCATCAGCTCCACTGACCGCTCCTACTGCGCCATCGGGTGTTGCAAAGTCGCCTCCACAAGGCCCTGCTGCACGACCGCGTGCACCACCTACAGCTCCTCAAGCGGCACGAGTCAACGTATCTCCATCGTTTTCAAGGGCAACTCTACCACAGTACACTCCTCGAGATGCATCTCCCAGTGCGAATCCTTCAGGGTTTGGTCCGCGTAATGGTGGCGGAGGAGGCTCTACGATCAACACATCCCCGCAAAGCTTACCAGCGAATATACCTACGGGCCCCAAAGCTGACCGCACTCCGATGGCTCCTAGGCCACTTTCATCCTATCCGCAATCGGACAGGCCTGGCTTTCCTCCCGCTAGAGGCCCATTGAGCGGCGGTCCTAAGAGCATGCAATGGGTACGGCCTGGATTTAATTCGAGCCGACCGTCGGTGCCAACCAAACGCGAATTTCCAGCTGAGGATCGTGAACGACAGTTCGGTACGGCCCCTAAAGCCCCTCGACTCGAGCATAGCGTCTCTGCTGCACAGATTCAGCGTAATTCGCAAGCAAAATCAGTATCGCCATCATTTTCACGCATTCAAACCGACATCGAAAGACCGAGAGAACGTGCGGTATCCGCAGAGCGTCCTTTAGTTCCCCCACCTAAACCTACTCCGATCGAGACTAGGCGACACTCTGATGTCGTCATGGCAGAAGCGTCACCTCCAATGGCCAAGCCTCCCATGTCGGCTGCGTCGTCCGCCCCGGAAGCTCTGCAAGACTCTGACGACGATCTTGATCTTGACGAGGATGACTTCGCTGAGTCTGAGGCGAAATACAACCGAGAGCGAGCACGTCTAGAGGCCAAACGGGTCGATCTGAGTGCTCCGCATTTGCGCGCTACAACTCCCTTGCAGGAGATTGTTCTGCTGTCATGCCTCAATGTCGAGCATCTTCCTCAGACACAGCCAGATGTGGTGTCCGTCGAAGAGACAAGCACACCCTTTCCCCAGGAGCAGGAAGAGTCACATCTTTCACCTGTGCAAGCACGTCCTCTGGAACCAACCACTACTCAACCCGCTCCAGAGAGTATCACGGCAGATTTACCGACACCTAAGGCTGAAGAGTCCGAGGATGTCGAGATGGAAGACAAAGAGGAGACTGAAGAGAGGTCGGCTGCACCCGCAACGATGGCGCTTCGTCTACGACGTGAGACCTCTGCAGAGCAGGAAACCTTACCCGACCTCAGTTTGTTGCCCTATCTAGGCTCAGGCCCGCCAACGCCTCTATCAGACATTGGGCAAGACCGACCAAACCTATCTGACGATATCATGAACGCCATTCGAAGCAAACTACGCAAGAGCATCGAGCCTGAGCTTAACACTGATCAGATTCTCGAACGATACGCAGCTGCGTATAGAGCGTGGCGTGTGTCTATCCGTCCTTTGGACGAAGAGCGCGATCATGACGATCAGGATAGACAGCCGTCAGCCGAACCAACACTGAAGGCTGTCACTCCCGATGTACAAAATGCTGCGATGACAGGGATTCTGGATGGGTCGCTTGCTCCTACAGGCCGGAGGAGCCATGCGAGTCGATGGGCTACTGAGCTTGATTTGGAAGCTGTCATCAAAGAGTCTTTGAAGACTGCCGAAGAGGAAAAGCTAGGGAAGAAAGACAAAGAGCCACGCAAAGCCATGGCTGATCCGGAGAAGGAGGCCGATCTACCACTGGAACTTACCGAGGCAGAGGCTCAGCGCAGAAGATTCATCGACACTAACTTCCAACGCGAACCCGGTCAAGGAATCTTTGTGTTTCACTATGAGCCACCAGAGGATGACTTCACCCCCGAGGAACACAGGGTCATGGTACATAACTACAAGGATCAATACGCAAAGAAGTGGGGTAAACTGGCCGAAGTTCTTTACAAAGAAGTTGGAACCGAACGTACCTACAAGGATTGTATCAATCATTACTATGCTACCAAATGGGGCAGAGAATACAAGGGTAAACTCCGCAAAGCTCGGGCTCCCAGGAAGCGTGGTGGAGCCGTTGGTCGTGGTCGTGGAGCTATCGCCAACATGGACCGACCCGAAGGACCAGGAGAGGACGGTTTGCCCTTACCAGTTACTGAGACTGGGCGACCTCGACGCCATGCGGCACCCAAATTTGGCCCAACCGAAACTGAGTTTGACCCGATCACAGGAATGCCCATACCAGGCCGAGCACGCAGGCAAACCGACGCCGACGACACGCAAGAAAAGGCCATGCGGCGTGGAAAACCGGCGAAGGACAAGGTTGGCCGGAAGGCGAAGAACACGCCACTCGCGGCCGTTCCTATAGGCTCACCTGTCAAGGTCGATCGTAAGGACAAGAACATGGGAGTCAAGATGGAGGACGACCTTGGCAAGCGGCCCATGAATGATATGCCCATACCCATGCCACTTATCCCTATGGAGGATCAGATGATGCTGGCTGGAGATTTGCAGCAGCTTTCTGGTCTGCCTGGCAGTCTTATGGATCGACCGAAGACACAGGCTGGTGCGAGACCTGGCCCATCCAGCTACTGGTCCGTCTCCGAGTTACAAGACTTCGATAAGAATGTTGCACACTTTGGCACGGACTGGATTGCAATTGCAAACCATATGGGCACCAAGACGCACACTATGATCAAGAACCAGTATCTGCGTCTCGTCGAAAGTGGCAAACTAGACTTGGAGCAGACAGCAAAAGAGGCAGATGCTCGAAGGGAACGAGGTGATGATCTAGGTCCACCGCCAACACCGACTCCAGCACCCAAGAGACGATACGAGAGCACACAAGCGGGACCTATCCGCCCCATCGCACCTACGCCTGAACATGGGTCTCCGCCTCCGAACCCGCTTGTGCACCCCAAATTATCTCCTCCGCATTCAACTCCTTCTTCGAGATTCTCCACTATCGCCCAAGCACCTGTGCAGAGCAAGCCCATGGTGCCTCCGCCCGGATATTCTGCCCTACCAGAGACTAGCCTGGCGTCTGTACCCTCGATACCACCACAGCAGTCGCCGCCCGCTCCCCCTCAGCGTGCACCACCGCAGCATCATCACCAACACTCCATGTCGCAGCATAAGTCGCAGCCGCAAGGGCCACGAGCTGGATACTTTTCCGAAGACCTACCTCCACGTTTCGAGTCCCGGCCACCTTCACAACCTGCAGGTAACCAACAGGCACACCGGCCATTGCAACAACATGCGCCTCCACAGCCTCGCGTTCAAGAGCAACACCACTCGCCTCTCTATCGTGGACTTCACTTTCAGGAGCGAGACGTTGCGGGTAGACCTGAAGTTCAGCAGGAGCAGGAGGCTCAGCGCCGGTTTCATGAACACACACGTCGCATTTCACAGGAGATGTCACAGCATAGACCTTTTGCTCCCGGTGGTGCACCGCCGATCATGCCGCCAGTACGTTCGAACTCTGGGCTGAGATCACCAGAACATCGTCCGTTGCCGTTCTCGCACTCCCGACACTCATCGCAAGCGCAATCGCTCAGCCAAACGGTAGCCGATGTGTATTCTCCGAGTCATAGTACTAGCCACAGTGCGCAACAGCTGCCGCCACGGTCGACCATTCTTACACCGCCTGTCAAAGAAGAGCCTAGGAATCCTCCTCCAGTTAGCCTTCCCCCAGCTCAACCCCAAGCGATGCTTCACACTCAATTACAGCATCCTCAGCGCGGCCCACCACCTATGCAAAACACACCTCCACCTGCAGTAACAAAGCCGGCTGTCGAACCACGCAAGTCTAACTTGATGTCTTTACTGAATGACACCGATCCTGAGGAGCCCAGACGTAAGAAGCCAAGCGAACAAGGTCCGCCATCGCATACCTCTACACCTCTGCAATCAGCACCAATCGCGCCTCCTCCTCCCACAACGCAAAGCTACTCGTCATCGTCAAGACGTCCGCTCTACGAAGATTCTATGGCTGCTCAATCTCCGTATACCCGTCCAGCCTCGTATGCTCAGCAGTCTTCACTCGCAAACGCAACATCAAACAGGCCAATCGACTTGACTGAGGACAAGCCATCAGTAAGCAGGCCAAGTCTGCGCGATACTTGGCAAGCCCAGCAGCCGTTCCACCGAGGATTGTCTCAGACTCCACAAATCACGTCGCTTTCTTCAACACCGACCGGCCTGCCTCAGCCGCCCAATGTCAACGACAGGATGTTCAGCAATCATCGTTCTGTCTTCTCCCAGCATAACACTCCACGTCAAAATCCGACACCGCCACCTCTTGCCGGCTTCAACAACTCTCCAAATCCGCATTCGCGCACGTCGAGTGTGAGTGGGCCGCCTGGGTCGTTGCCTAGACATGGTGTTCCGAGCACCACTGCAGCACAGCATGCGCAAGCACTGAGTGCATCATCGCAGATTCTGCAGCCGAACCCATACGCCCAAGTTGATCCGCCGGGCAGTGGTGTCCCGCCACCTGGACCTATGGGGATGCGGCCCAGTCCGCACCTGTCGACAAGCCACATAGCACAGCAGCAGAGGGACTCGTCCGGACGCAACGACCATTCGCAGGCCTCAAACGCAAACCTATCGTACTCGAACCCACAAACGCCCAACGAGCATCCAGCCCACCCTTTTCAAGGGTTGAGTAGACTGACGGAGCCTTATCGTCCTCGCGATCCTCGTGAGGCCCACGATTTTGATCCTCGTCACTCGGATCGCGACACCAGCCGTGAGTTGTCACAAAGGGCCGATTTTCTACGTGAACAGCTTTCCAACCCCGCGCTACGTGCGCCAGGTCCTCCAATGCACGAAGATTTGCGATACCAACCCCAAGATCGTGGATACCTCTCGCAACGCTCACAGACTCCGCTTTCTAGGCCGGAGCACGGCCAGCCTCCACCTTTGCAGCATCCTCCGCACTCGTCTCTCGGAGTAGCAAACCACTCTCTTTATGGTCAGCGCCCTCCCGAGGAACCACAACATCACTTCATGCGCAATCCTCGTGATCGCAGCATGACGGACCGTATCCGCGAGGAGCAAGCCCAAGCTCAAGCTCAACACCAGGCCGCGATGAATCGAGAAGAGCATATGCGAAGAGAAGCTGAACAAAACTCAAGAGAACGTGAGATGCGCGAACGAGATGCACGAGATGCGCACTACAGGGACAGCATCATGCGAGGAAGACAAGATATGAGGGGTCCACCGCCACCACAGCCCAGTTCAGGGCCAGGATCAATCCACGACCCTCGGCCACCTACAGGACCTATGGACTGGACGAGCGGTGTAAGGCATCCGCAGGACCGTGGTCCATGGCAACGCTAGGGGGTCGGCTCGATTGACGTTTCGGATATTACATGCTCTACGCATATGATTTCTTTTGTGTCTCAGTAGATAGCTTCAGCGTTCCCGGCGTCATGTTTCTTGACGCCTTACTTGTTCATGTTTAAGAGAAAGGATGACAGTCATGCCACGCGGTAGTCTTGCCTTTGGCGTTGGGTGGTGCTTGTCCTGCCTGTTTAGTTTTTGTTATACCAGAGCGAGTGGTTTGGAAGAGCAGAAAGAGATGGCTTTTGGACCTTTCTTGTAGAAACTTGTAGTGTATTATACGTAGCTGTCGAGCTAATTGCGAAATGTTCTGAATGAACTTGACTTTCTACTGGGTGCTGCTGCTGGTGAAGAAAAGCCTTCTACGCGTGTGAGACTGCTCTGCAGATGCATTGGTGTATGTGCCAATCATGGCACTGATCACACGTCAACCTCTTTTGCTGAACAGGCAGCAGATAGCCCAATTATACAGTGCTGGCTACGCGAACCCCTCTGCCAGGTCCACATAAACCTCAACGCCGATACGCCTCCGCAACAAACCCATCCCACTCCCCTTTAAGATCATCCTCCAAGCTCCCACCAGAGACCCTCATACCCTCAAACGTCAACGACCCAACACCCGGCACCTCATACAAACACCCCTCCATCGAACCATCACCAGCGAACGTCATATAACCCGTGCACTTGCGACCAAACGTCAGCTGTCCAGTCTCCAGATCGCGAAGACGCCAGCCAAGCGAACAAGGTTGACCCAGACTATCGGAGTCGCCAGGACCAGGGTTCATCTGGATGATTCCGTCCCAGGCGCCCCAGCGGAATGTCGCCCACCAGATACCGCGGGAGGGGTCGCGGGCGAGTGTGAGGTCCAGGTTGTAGTCGTTGAAGGTGGAGCTGGCAGTCTCACAGGAGATGGAGTAGGTACCGCTGAGGAGGAGGGGTGGCGAGGGTTGGTAGTAGTTCGGGTAGGGGTCGGTCTTGATGTAGGGTGATGGGTACATTCGGTCGGGGCTGGGCTGGTACTGCTCTTGCTTCATGCGGGACCTTGAGGGAGTTGATGGTGGCGCGGAGGTCCGGCTCTCTTGCTTGATGTTGGTAACAGATCGCTTGGCGGTCGGCTCCTTCTTGACGAGTGTTTTCTTTGGCGCTGGCTCCTTCTTTACTCTAGCAACTTTCTGCGGTGTCGCTACCGGGCCGGAGACGTGACTACCAGCGCGCTTGCGTTTGGCTGGTGCTGGCTTCCTTGGGGTGTTGTTGCTCGCCTGCTGCGCGTCCATATACTGGCTAAGCGACGCTCCTCCTAAGGCCAAATTGACTTCGAGATAGGATTAGCAGCGTCAAATATCAGGGGTCTTTAAGCCTACCAGTGACGTTGACCCCGCCATTTACACCCTGAGAGCTTCCAAAACCTGGCTTGCTAGTAGTGCTCGGCTTAAGCGCGTGCTTGCTCACTGCACCACCATTCTTCTTCAACTTCCGGTTCTCCGCCTCCCATTCAGCCTTCAGTTCGCTCTCGACCTTCAAAACCCATGCTGGTACCTCAAGTTTGAACTGATTCATAGCATTCAGGAGTCGCACTTTCGCCGCATTCTTGTCCTTGGTAACCGGTAGTCCATAGTGAATGAGTTGGGCGGAGTAGAAATGCCAAACCTGGTCTTTCGCTGGTGTCGCAACTTCAGGCTTTCGACCCTTGCTGTAGAGATTCGGGGCTTCCGGGCGGAGGAGAGCCGCAAGTTCGGCGACACTCGCGCGTCCATGGTGGTTTCCGTTGCCAGGGTCTGCGTAGAGGACGGATGAGTAGAGGAAGTCGCCACGGCGGGCTGGAGGGGCGAATGTCGCCATGTATTTTGAAGTGTTGGGTATCGATATAGGCTACGAGTTTCCAACAGATAGTACGTGGAAGATGTCCGCGAAGGGGTGTTGCAGAGTGGTAGAGCGGATTGCGTGGGTCGACGGTAGGCTACCAACGAAGCTTGAGTCCGTGCTTGGTCAGAGGAACATCCAGGGTTCACTCTTCTTCTTCCAAAATTTCCTCGGCGCTTTCAAATCCTGAAGACTGTAAGTCTTCTTCTATCTTCACCCTGATCTGTTCCTCGGCTTTCGCCTTTTCTCTCTTTTTCTTTGTTTCCGGACTTCCGTATTCTTTATCGAGATCGGATACGAGATTGAATATATTGCGCAGAAAGTTGGTGTAGAACTGGGTGTCAAAGGCTTGATGTCGTCGACACAGAATCTTCTCCCAATCGTTCTGGTGCTCGTGAAATGCGCAACTATCCTTTACATCGTCATACAAACGCTCACGTAGATGTGGATCTTTTGGTTGGGAGGCTATAATCCACATCACTTCGGCAAGCCAATCATGAGAGAAGCATTTTCTGATGTCTGCTGCAGTCGTGGTGTTCAACGGATAACCGACGAAGACGAAAGCCATCCACTTTAGCAAAAAGATTCGGAACGGCGAATTCGAGAGCAGAGATTTGTCCAAGGCGTCTCTGTCGATCTTCTGACACAGAATACCCGTGGGTCTTTCAAGGTCAACCATCAAGGTCATAATGTCCTGCCTCAACAGCGGCACGTCATAAACTTCTGCAAAAACATACAAGCGGAGGAATACGTCGCCGTAGAAAGCTGAAATTGATGTTTCCTGGCGGTAATCTGTGATGCTATTAGCATGTAAAGCGCAGCAGCAAGTAGCGCAGTAATGTACTTCTTGGAACCAGCCAGTCAGGGTTGCTGTTAGGCTTCCTATACCTCGCATTCTCCGTCTCCGTAGTGTCGATCGGGGTAGAGTTCTCATGCCGTGTGGCTTGCGCGTATAGCCAATCCTGGTACAGGCGGAATATGTCTGCCCTGGTATCAGGCAAACTTATTGACCACACCTCTGTTTCGAGGAGGGGACCCCCAAATGCTTTGCGAAAATATCCTGAGTAGAAACATGCGATATCTTTGTGCACTGTGACGACAATGTCATCAAGATCAAGGCGAACAGTGACGTGCGCTTGGCTTATCGTGCTATCGGTACGGATCAGTTTGGTTGACCAATCGAGGGGTCAATAGTTATGATTCGGGTTAGAGCTTGCTGGATTTGATGAGACTCACGAGAATGTCGGACGTTTGGACTTGTGGCTGGTCAGTTGGGCTTCGGCTGGTCTCTTAGCAGCATTTTCCATGGTTGTTATGGTGACTTTGAAAAGGGCCAGCGAATTGATCCAGTCTCGCTCGCGAGTTTTATGGAGAGATATGGGGATTGAGCTGTGACTGAAGGGATAGTTTGGGTACAGGTTCTGATGTTACGAGCTGAACAGAGATTTCGGGGCACCTCGGGAAGTGTTGAAGCTTGACGCGTGCGACTATTTGAGACTAGCGCGACTTCGACGCGTCTTCGGCCCTATTGCCATCTTCGCATGCAACATCTGTTCTAGTATTGATCATGAACAGGCAGCTCGGTAGTCGTTCAGACCGGTGTCAACACACGTACATGGATTTGTTGAGGTCTCGACCCATATACCCAGGTAAGAGCAGGCCTATGGATACAGGTTGACGCGTGAGATGACTACAGTCTCAGCTCAACCACCGTGGAGCAAGATCTCATAGTCATCGTATGCTTCCAAATCTTCCCAAATGCTTACGGGTGGCTCCATTTGTGACCTACCATCCACTCCTCGGGGAATTGTGAATGAAAAGGTCGAATCTGATGGCAGTCCAACACCGGCCGACGAGGGCATCGCCTTATCTTCTTTCTTTTCCAACATGTCAGGCTCATACTTTGGGTTTTCCTCCGTCTGCGCATGTGACTTTGACTCCAGCATCGCATCCTCCATATCGTAAACCTCGCTCATGCATGCTCGCAGAAAGCTAGAGAACCAAAGTCCTTCTTTCTGCTGTCTCATCTTGCAGGCCGCAATCGCTTCTTTATCACCCTTGTGCTCGTGGAAGTTGCAAGAGTCACAATTCTCTTCCTTAAGCTTTCGTTTGATTGAGCCACCTTTCACAGGAATAGCGACCAACAACAGATCGATCATGAACGACTTGGGATGGGCTTCCCACTTTTCTTGAGTCATATTCCCGGCATTTACTGCGTACCTTGTGACAGCGTATTGGCAAAGGGGGGAAGTAGAGGGTAGGTTACGGTATAGTCTGTTGACGAGGTCTGATTTCCATAGGTCTACACAACCATTGTTGTGGCCGTTGTAGGTTACAAGCTCGACTAGTAATGTCATCATATCCTTTCGCAGCTGTGGTGTATCATAGAAGTCGGCAAAGAGGTACAGGCTAACGAACGTTTTCAGATACTTGTGGCGCTTTTGAAATAGGAATTCTTATCGAGTTAGCTCCAATCAGATCTGGTCGACGGCGTATCTCACCTTCTGTTGCTACCCAGTCGGCGGCTTTTGACCAAGGTTTTGGCGGCGCAGACACAGGAGCGGTAGGTTCCTCACCGGCTATTCAGTCGTCAGTTTCAGCTGATCACATCGGGAAACTTCGCATTTTAAGCTGATGTACCTTCTCCATCTTTCACCGATTCACTCTTTGGAGTGCTTTGGTTACCAACGCAGTCTACTGACCAGACAGTGGACCGTCCATATAGCCAAAATTGGAACAGTCTCATTGTCGAGGCTGTTACACCCCCAATAGAAATCGATCTGTCTTTCGACTCGCGAAACTCAGACTTGAACGCTGCGGCAAAGTAAGGCGATTGAGAGCATAGTGACTCTCTATGTAGCATGTATGTCTGCGGACCCTCATCGTCACCATCACCATCAATGTTGATCGTAACGAAGGTCTGGTCCCGGGATCTTGTCATCAAACTTAGTCTATAATCGTTCACAATGGATGATATGGTCGAAACCATGTCGTGTTTGTAGGTTACAATGAAAGGTTCGCTTGCCCTAGATAGGCACGTACAGTAAGGCTGGTCTATTCCGCTTCATCTGCGCGGCCGAGGATGAATCAGGTTTTTCCATCATGACATGCACACACTGGAGGTATGTGTATGCCGGATAACAGAAAGCTCGTATTGGATCGACGGTAAATGGCGTTCACTGTTGAGGTTCGCGGAGTGTGCATGCGCGATGGAAGGGAAAAGGCGGTGGAACACGCCAGGCGCACCACGTGCTAACGGCTTTTGTGTTAGCGCATCTTCCACATCGCGCAACCACGGAGCGACGGCGATCACGACACTATCTTCACTTCAGACCAACTTCAACATTACACCGTCGACTCGACGTTTCCGGTCCCCAAATCACCGCGAGCTAGGGGCCTCCTCTTGTGGCGACCTACTAACTTTCCGCCACCCTTGAACATGGACGATGCGTCGGCTACTTGACGCCCCGAAAGTAGGCAGAGGAGCTACTCAGGAAACAGCCGCATGTGTATTCTCTGACTCGAGGTAACATCGCTACGTTGAAAAGAAAGACTACAAGCAAATTACCCTACCTTCGGCGACGGCAAGCTACAGCCACAACATCATCTCCCACACAACCACTCACAGACCGCGCGTAATTCTCCTGAACGCACACACATTGCACCCCTACAGCCGGCGACACAAAGTCCCGGAAAGAGAAAACATGGGGCATGGACACGCCGCTCCCGTAAGCGTACCGCAAAGCATGCCTACACATGGCGAGACGCACCCGTAAAAAGCACCCACTCGAGCAGGCCCAGGGATACTTCTTCGAGCTTTCTAGCGCGAAGCTACACATGCACCCTGATTTTTTTCTTCCCACCACATACCACATAATCGTACGACATGCTGGCACATAGTTCAAGCCGTAAGCGAGAGGTACCAATCGGCAGCCCTCCGAACGGGTGCTCCCATGACGGCTTTTTGGCGCAAGCTACCTGCCCAACCGTGAGATATAACAACTTCAGATCGCCGATTGGCGAAGAGTACCATTTCCCACCCCTCCAACCCACCAAGGCAACGGCCACTGGACACTCCGTGCCATCTGAACTTCACATTCCCCCCATTTCAAATACCCAGATTACCACCCCCAAGTAGCAAGTATGCATTAGTGACAGTAATCAAAGGACATGGCAAAGAAGGATTCCGAAGTGGCTGAATGGTAATTGATCTCGCTACCGCAGCCCCCCCGAAGCCTTCAAGCCGGCATCGACAAGCCAGCCGCTCATACCACCATCACCCCCAAGTCTACCCACCATCCACAGCCCCATGATCTACAACGCTCGCCTCGCACTGCATTTACAAAAAGACTATACGCACAGCCCCACACTCCACGTGTCTATCGTCCAAAAGTCCACCACCTACATTCCCATCCCCACCCATCCACCCTCCCCACGCACAGACACCGTTCCCTCAAACCAGCAAGTCCACACACCGCGTAGATCAACGTGGCTTCCACCCTTCCTCCACCGCCTTCCCCCCTCCGACATCCTCCTCCGACTCCGAAGCCAACGCGGTCTCCATCCCGCAATCCCGCACGCAACCGTGCCACACTCAAGTCAAGTCAAGTGAGGCACAGTCGGACCCGCAGCACCGACTTCCGCAATCCCAGTCCCTTCCCAAATCTAGACCGTGCTCGCGAGGGACTGATGTGTAATTGTACGGCGTAGTCGCTTCTGAAACAAGCGCGGTGGCCGGGTGTGACGTAAGGATTGCGGCGGGGCGAGGTGAGATGGTTGTTTGAGCAGGGGGACGGGGCACGTGAGACGGAAGGATTTGGGGCAGGGGGAGTGTTGGTATGACGGGTTGCTGGGGTGTGTGAGTTGTGTGAGGGGGGTGTTGGTATGATGGTTATATGTACTGTGATATGATGGTCTTGATGTGTTGATCGTATGTCTCTTGGGATTTGCATGCGTGATGGGATGGGGTGGTGTTTCATCCTGAGTGCTGGTTTCTAAGAGTGTAATGACATAACGTGTGTGCGAACTGGATGCAGAGTATGTGTGTTGGTCATCATAGTAAGCATACGAAAGGTCACGATAGCAATGGCATGCGAAGTCAAGAAGTGCAGTTATGCGTTTTGCATTGAGTTTCAATATTATACACACGCCGCCTCACGAAGAGGAAGACGCAAACCACCAAGCTACCTGCATATCCGAGAGATGTATCGACGATATGCGTATACGTGCGCTTCAAATGGTGTCCCAGTCCGCCATCAAACAACTTTTGCAACAAAGCAAGCCATGCCGCCAAGGATATATCCAACAGAGCGCTGAACGACGACGACAACGAGCAAACAGATCGGAGCGCAAGGGAAAAGAAAGAATAAAAGGGAAAAACGTGAAACGATGAGACAAAAAAAGAAGGGTACTCATGTTCGTAGTGTTGTGTCGTCAGCCAACCCCTCAAAAAGCCAAAATCCGGTGGTATCACCATCCCCTAGCTCCGAAGGCTGGAAAAGAAAAAGCAAGAACAAATGCAGTGCGGACATCGTGAATGTATGCCGGACAGAGGAAAACAGACACCGGTCTAAGAGATTAAACGCGAAGACAAGAAGATGAACAAGAAAAACAGCAGACTGGTATCCTTCTAGATGGCTGCGACATTGATTGCGCCGAAATGCTCATTTCACATGTGTGACGTCGTGACAGGGTATGCTCAGTAGTGGCTACCGGCCATGAGGCTGTGTTGTGGTGGCGCCATGGTCATACCAAGTCCTGGGCCAGGAATGTCGTTGATGGAGTGCGACAGACCGAGGTACTCGTTGCCGGAATCAGGCGAAAGCTCATCGGCGAGCGAGTGGAGGTGGTCTTCCTCGCCCTCGAGGTCGTCTTCTTCTTGGTAGTCACTCAGCGGCTCGCCGTCAGCGCGGGGCTCGTGTGTGCGACGATGTCTAATGAATTAATTAGTATGTGGTTTTCGGTTGGGCGGTAAACAGGGTACATACTGGGCAAGGTTGTCTGAGCGCGAGAAGGCCTTGTTGCACAACGGGCAAACGTATGGTCGTTCTTGTGTGTGGGTGCGTACGTGTCTAAGCGCCAGGGTCAGCGTCTATGCAAAACAACGAATAAAGTGGAGGCCCGAATGATCGTGTGGTACAAAAATAGCAAGATGGGAAAATTGCGAGCGCTTACCTCTTGAGGTGTTCTAATCTCTTGAAGAGACGACCGCAGGTGGGGATCGGGCAGGAGTGTGACTTCTGGGGGTACGGGCCGATTTCCATCATGGTGGCACTGCGGGCGCGTCGGAAAACTGGTCCTCCTGCACCAGCGGTACGAGCGACCGCGCTGTGCTGGAGGGGGCTCTCAAAGAGCTCGCCGTTGACCAGAGTGTTCAGATCGTCGTGATGCAGCGAAGCGGACTGCGGCTCGGGGCTCTCCTCAACAGTGTTGAGTGGGGTACCCTGGCGGGACATGTCCATGTGAGGCTTCTGCTCAGGCATCTGGGGGTAGCTCGCGCCGTTGGTGCTGTTGGGCGAGTTGTGGTTTGACTCATCAACCTCGGCAAGGGGAACGACTGAGCTCGACATTGATCGCCTCAGGTCACTTGGGCGGTGAACCTGGTGAGCACCTGCACCGGAAGCGGTGACAGCAGCGGCGATACCAGCGGAAAGGGACGAACGCCTCCTACGTTGCTTATAGGTGGGTGAGCCTTCAATGACGGAGTAGACATTGCCAGGAGCGAATGGCCGGGAAACGCCGGGGTAACCAGAGCCCATCAAGTTTGACGGTGGCATGTTCATGAGAGGGTTGAATGTGTTGGGAACTGGAAGGTCTGGGATAGCGCTGTAGAGACCAGTGTCCTCATTCGCAATGTAAGCAGGCTCAGCACCGAGACCAATCTGGTGTTGAGGTGGGGTCAATGGCTCGAAAGACATGCCGCGAGTGCTGTAGTCCTCGTAGTGAGAAGAGACGAAGGACGGCGCAGGAGAGTACTCCATGTATGCGGGCATGGAGCTGTGGCGCTGGTGAACTTGGGACAAAGGAATGCCGTTGCGGTCGTACTGGAAAGACTGGCTCATCTCGCGCTGCTCCCGGCTCTTGACAACGGGGTTCTGCATGGAAGGTGGCATGGACATTTGCTGGTGGTACTGGGCCATGGGGTCCTCGTGGTGCATTGGTTGCTGCATTGGCTGCTGCATCTGAGGCATGGATTGCTGTACGGGGACCATGGTTGGTGGGGGCATGGAGTCCATTCTTTGCATGTCGGGCGATGTGCTCTGGTACGATGGCTGGACGTTGTTGTTGAAGGACGATGAGTTGGTTTGTTGCGCCTTGGTGAGCTGCTCAAAGAGCGACTGGGATGAGTCAAATTCGA